TGTCTTTATGAACATGTTGAGTCTTCTTGTTGATTTATTCACATGGTGCTTTAAGCATGATGTTAAGGACATATTGAATTAATATTATATTCATCAAGGTAGTATTGTAGATGTGTCAAGTCACCTTTCAGATTGTCATTTATGGCATGATAGACATACGGAATCATCTTCTTAGTTGGCTGAATTACACAGACAGTTTTATTGATTCTTAATGGGTCTTTATTGTGTTGTAAACACATTTCGCCATCTTTTAAACAAGTTTTTGCTTTACTAGGTATGTTTCCGCATGAACATTAACAAGTCAAATAAACCACAATGTTTTTAATGTTCCTTATTAAAATTTACAGCGGAATCACACAGTCAATAAAACAAAATTTTAAAGAGCAGAGAGCATTTTCCTGGTGAAAGTTAATAAACGAAAATAGACAAACACGTTCCATCAAATTCTTATTTAACTCAAGCGTAAAAAACTATATGAAAAATACGGAAGCATTACTCCATTCTGATTCAAGTTTATCATAATGGATTACGCTAAATTTTATTGATTTCAAATAAGATGACGGTTTTATCTTCAGAGCATCTTCTGTTCCCTTTCACATGGCATAACTTTCCTCCTAGAAAATTGGTTTCTTCTTTATATTTGCCTACTATGTACATAATACGAGCGATATTTGAAACCGGCAGTTAAAACAAATGGCTAGCTTGATGTTTAGTTTTGCTTACGTGTACTTCAACATTGTAATATTGTTGACATTTTCAAGCTACTTTCAGTTATTACCAAGTATATGCAGTGCCAGTACCTTCTGTTTATTTCGATAATATGTTTGTTTGTTTGCAATTAAGCACAAAGCTACACAATGGGCTATCTGTGATTTGCTCACTACGGGTATCGAAACCCGGATTCTATCGTTGGAAGTCCGCAGACATACCGCTGTGCCACTGAAGGGCTCGATAATGTGAATTACATCCTATGTAAAAAGTAAAAGTTATTTTAGTGCACCGAAAAGAGTTTCAAGAATATTGATAGTGTATCAAATAAAAAATAATAATAATAAGGAAATTGCCATATTTAGGTATAGGCTCATACAAGAAATAAATGGGTATACATCACACTTCAGTATTCATGATGTCAGTAAAAAAACACGTAAATTCAAGACGTCCTAATATAAAACTATAAAAACCCTATAACCCGAGCGTTTTCAAAAGGTGGACTTTTCTTGTTCAATATTCATAATTTGTGTATGTGTAACTTTCTTTCAATTTATTTTAAAATACTCATATAATTCTAATTAATCTATAATATCGTCTTTCCTTCTGAGTTAAGAGTTCGTTTAATGTGTAGTTACTGAGCTTTTAAGAAGCACAAAGAGTGATCAAAACCAGCTGGTATTACCTAATCCCAAGATTGTGGTGGTA